AGGTGCACTCTCTGCACTGCTACTTCGTGCGGACAGGTGCGCCCGAGGAACCGGGGAACCGGGCGGCGGGGACGGGGTGCAGGGCTTCGGGAGAGGCCCGGCAGTGTCTCAGACGAGAGGGAAGTTCGCAGGAGTGAGGAGGCGCCGTCATCCCGGTCCCAGCAAAATAGGGAGGGTGTGAGTGGCGCTGCGGGGCAGGTTTCGGCTGTGCGTGGTGCGCCGTGGCCCAGCCGGCAGAACGTCCCTTTCCTGTCCCAGGGGACCCCAAGGTGCCGGTGCTGTACGAGGTGGAGCGGACCCGTACAGGGAAGAGTTTCTCTGTTCGTTCCGTAAAGGCCATCCAGCACGGACAGCCGATCTTCACCTGCCAGGCCTCCTTCCAGCTCTCCCAGGGAAGCCCAGTGCAGCACCAGTTCACCATGCCGACCGTGCCACCCCCCGAGGAGCTTCTGACACAGGAGGAGCTCATCCAGAAGTTCCTGCAGTGAGTAGTGGGGTGGAAGGGACACGCTGGGGATGCTCCTTGCTGCCTGGGGCATAGGGAGATGTGGGAGAGGACTGTGAGGAATTCTCCAGTATACCTGGGAGGGAAACAGAGGAGCAGGACATGACAGGAGCTGTGCTGCTCTAGTCTCTGTGTGCCCCTGGGTCCCTGAGCTGGAGCTGCTGCCAGTAGGATGTGATCCAACCTGCCTATCTGGTGTTAACCTTGCTTCTTTGTTCCGGGCTGCAGGAATCCTAATGTGGCTGAGAGATACAGGAAGCATCTCACCAAGATCCAAGCTCAGGATGTGCCGATTGACATTAAACCTGTGAACCCACCAGATATATTCAGCTCAGAGCCACAAGAGCCGAAGCAGCTCTTCTGGGTGCGAGCACGAGGCTACATAGGTGGGTCCCGCTGGGTCCAGGTGCCTCCCAATCCAAGGGCATAAGCACCAGCTCACACTGTGGAGCACTGTTGCAACAGAGTGGGCTGGTAGGGCTGTGATTAGGGGGCTGCCTGCGCCCCAGCCTGGGCACTTCAAGGCTGTAATACAGGTGTGGGTGCAGAGGTGATGCCGTGACCCACGCCGGGGCATGGCATGGCAAAGAGAATAAGTCTGGAAGAATCTCAGCTGTGCTTGGCAGCTGCCTCCAGGGCAGCGGAGCCCTGGGGCTCTGCCTTGTGCTGCGCTGCCCCAGGCGTGTCCCACGGGCCCCCGCGGGACGGGCAGCACTGGTTGCTCTGCAGGGGAGACTGACATGAAGGTGCATTGCTGTGTGGCCGCCTACATCTCTGACTACGCCTTCCTGGGCACGGCCCTGCTCCCGCATCGGCAGTACCACGTCAAGTTCATGGTGTCCCTTGACCATTCCATGTGGTTCCATGCGCCCTTCAGAGCTGACCACTGGATGCTGTACGAGTGTGAGAGCCCCTGGGCTGGTAAGTCCTTAGTGCGTTTTTGGGAGACCTTCATGGCCAAGGCCAGCCCTGCCTGTCCTGGGGACACTGGGCTGCAGTCTGACAGTTGCTCTCTGCAGGTGGGTGCCGCGGCTTGGTGCAGGGACGGCTGTGGCGCAGGGATGGGGTCCTGGCTGTCACCTGTGCACAGGAAGGTGTCATCAGGGTGGAACAGACACCAAACCAGAGCAAGCTCTAGCTGAGGAGACCCTATAGCTGGGGCTCAGGCATGCCTAGGGAGGGACCCTGAGATCAAGAAAGGACCTCGAAAGGAACAGGAAGGAGACCAGGTGGGACCAAGGACTGCAGGAGGTCCTGGTGCCAGAGGTGTTTTCGACAGACTGTGACCAACAGAGCATCACTGCAACCAGCTGCTAGCTGCACAGCATATAACTGCACACTGCCATCAGCTATCCTTCACCCACCTTAAAATAAAGCTGTTGGGTGAAGAGCTGGACTCTGTCCCTGGAGTTTGTCCCCTTGCATCTGTGACTGTGCTTACTCGAGGACAGGCAGTGCCAGGAGCACAGTGCCAGGATCAGCTCTGCCCCCATGGCAGGCTGGGCCACAGGAGGGGAAGGTGCTACTTCGGCACACGTTGCTTCCTCTTCTCACTTCTGTACTGCTTGTGCCCTGGCTCCTCAGTTGCTGCTTCTGCTTGTCCTTGGGCTCCTTCCCAGGACTGGGCTTGGGCTTGGGCCTGGCTGGGTGCCGGGAAAAGAAGATGAGGCAACTCCCACCTCTGTGTGGAAGCTTGAGCCTCCCACTGATGGTGCCCTAGGGTAGTGGGGCTGAACAGACACAGCAGGCGCCTTGCTCTTCTTCCTGCCAAGACTTTATTTAATAAAGTCCTTTCTATTGTGTAAGTTTCATGGGAAGTTCCCGGCAAGAGCCCTGGACCCTGCCAGAAGCTTTCCCGTTCCCTTGCAAGGTGCCAGTACGTCCCAGCTAAAGTCTCAGCCACTCCGGGATCCCCAGGAGAGGGGGAGCAGCTTCTGGCAGCACCCATGTGGGTGGTGGACCCCCCTGAGTCCCCAGCCCAGCAAGACAGACTAACCACAGAGAAAGTGCATTCAGGAGGCAGCTCCAGGCATGGGCTGTGCTGCCCGTGGGACTGCAGTGCTGCTCCTCTGCCCCATTGCCACCCACAGCATTGCCCTTACTGTTCCCAGCTGCCACAGGCATGAGCCCCCCACAGCCCTTGCCCTCTCACCCATATGGGCACAGGTGGCTTATTCCAGAGGCTCCTTGATCAGGCATTCCTTCAGGGAAGGTTGCTGCTGCAGGGGCAACCCAGCTTCCCGCAGGTCCTGCAGCCGGGCCTCCGAGCGCCGCTTGTCCTTGCCCACCTTCCAGGCCAGGTGGACGTGGGCCTGCAGGAAGGGTCCCAGGAGTGGGTGGCTGCCCTGGGCCTCCAGCAGCTGCAGCGCCTGCTCACAGTAGCCGTGGGCCTCACTGAGCTGGTCCAGCTCCTGGTGGCAGACGGCCAGTCCAGCCAGTGTCAGCAGGAAGCGGCCGGAGCTGCAGACCCCCAGCCGGTCCTGCAGCCGGTAGGCATTGGCCCAGGTGGCCAGGGCCTCGCGGTACATGCCGGTGCAGGTCAGGCGCTGTGCGGCCTGCAGGTCCGGTAGGAAGAAGAACTCGAGGAACTCAGGAGAGCGGCGGATCTCGTCGATGGAGTGCAGATGGGACAAGAACTGTTCGAAGGCTCGGCTCCGCTTGGCAATGGTCTCAGCAGTGAAGTTCCGGCGCAGTCTCTTCCTAGGGAAGGCAACGCCGGCCATGTCGCAGCTGAAGCGGCAGCGCAGGCGGCGGTTCAGCTGCTCGAAGTCTGAGTAGCGCCGGGCGATGGTGGCAGGGGCCTTGTCAAACTGGCCAGAGCGGATCAGGTAGATGGTGTAGAGCTGCGGGGGAGGCACGTGTCAGGCAGTGCTATGGGCACGTTTCTACCGGCACAGCGGGGTGTGCGGCCACAACGGGCTGGGGGAGTTTGCCCAGACAGAAGGGAGTGGACTGGGCTGCTGCAGCCGCAGCACCCATCAGCAATAGTTACCTGAGGCTCATCTGAGCCGCCAGCACCATCCGAGCAGCACGGGGAAAGAGAAAAAAATAAGCGCCAGCCCCGTGGGATCCCTGCCCCGGGGAGAGAAGGACTCGTACGCACCCCGTGCCCGCCCAGCCGCGCCGGGCTCACTCACCACGTACTTGGAAGAGCGCTCGCTGACCACGCTGGCGCTGGTGACCTCGAAGAGCAGCCGCTGCGGTACCACGCTGCCCCGCGACCTCCGCCACAGCTCCTGCAGCTGCCGGGTCAGCAGGCTGCTGCCGGGACGCTCCGCCGCAGAGACCCACTCTGTGGGAGAGGGGTGGTCAGTGCCCTCCGTGGGGACAGGGCTCTGACATCTGTCGGGCTGCCGGACGCCACCAGCGCACGAGTGTCCCTGAAGTCCCCCCAGCTCACC